TGTGAGTGAAGTACCACACTTAGCCCTGATGAGCACAGTAGGGATCTCAGGCTTGTAATCTTAAATCCAAAGAAAGTGGAAGTTTTAAAATGTCAGCCAGCAGTACAGATAACCTGGAAGGGCCACTCAAGTTTAAGGAGCCTCCCTCATAGGCCAGGCAAATTCAATGCATCTGCCCTTCTGAATCTTCAGATCAGTTTAGGTGCTAGGGTTGAGCCCAACCTCAAGGCAGCTCCCCATTGTGGGGAGCCCATGGAGCCATCTTTTAGATGGGGCTCAAGTGCTCTCTACCTACGGGAGTCATACACTTACTGGCTGGGTTTGCTGTGGGGGCACATGCCTGGTTTTTTTTGGAAGGCGGGGGCATGTTGAGGCTTTTTGATGCTGGTTTCTTTGTATATCCCTGGCTGTCCTTGAACTTGATCTGAAGACCAGGCTGTCCTTGAACTCTTGATCTGCAGAACCAAGATGTCCTGTCTCTTCCTAGGATTAAAGGCATGTACTACCACTGCCTGGCACATGTCTGTATTCTTAGCACTTGCAAAGGGAAGGTAGGAAAATCAGAAGTCCAAGGTTGGCTGTAGAGGTGAGTTCAAATTTGACCTGACTTAAAAACTGTTTCAAAAATAATTGATCCGGGCAGTGGTGGTGCATGCCTTTAATCCCAGCACTTGGGAGGCAGAGGCAGGCGGATTTCTGAGTTCGAGGCCAGCCTGGTCTACAGAGTGAGTTCCAGTACAGCCAGGGCTATACAGAGAAACCCTGTCTCGAAAAACAAAAAAAAAAAAATTGAGGGGCTGGAGAGATGGCTCTCGGGTTAAAGCCTTGGCTGTTCTTCCAGAGGTTCCTGACTTAGTTCCCAACACACACGTGGCAGCTTACAACTGTAACTTCAGTTCCAGGGCATCTGACCCCCCTCACACAGACATACATGCAGGCCAAACACCAGTGCACATTGAAAAGTTAGAAGAATTGGAGCCAGTACTTAGCAACCTCTGTGGATATCAGTCCTACTATGTGCTCTTTGTAGAGAAGATAGAGTTCCAGGCAATGGCTCACTCAAGGGTGCACAGTGGAAGCCGGAAGTACTGTGAGCCACAAAGGCCGGTAGGAAGGAAGGCCGAGGCCCTTCATGCTGTGCTAAGAGGCTGTGCTCTGCAGTCCTGTTTGGGGAGTGTAAGGTCAGAACATTGAACTTTATGGGAGAAACCTTAGCCCACAGAGTAGCTGGCCCAGCCCAGAGGGTCAGGTGGGTACTTTGCTGGTGGATTGTTAGGTTGTCTTGTTCACATTCACCTCTGAGACGTAATCCAGGGACCTCAGGAACCAGGACCCACTTTCTTGACAAAAAGCTGTTACTGGTAGAGTTGGCCTAGAAGCCGTTGAGTGGCCAGCAGCCAGGGAGCTGTACTAGTGAGTACAGCTTAGAGGCCTTAGAGGGTCCCGCCTTGCACGTCAATTGAGGGTAAAGTTCACACAACTAGGAGATTCACTGCTGAAGCCCACACATAGCTACTGTCCTAAGCTCACATACATTTAATTTTTTGTTGAGACAGGGCTTTATTATGTAGTTTTGGCTGACCTAGAACTAGCTATGTAGTCTAGGCTAGCCCTAGTTTCTCAGAGATCAGCTTGCCTCTGCCTCTAGAGTGCTGGGATTAAAAGTATATCCACCACTTTGGACCCAGCAGATAGGCTATTCCCATAGGCAGGAAAGGCTCCATGGACAGCAATGACATCTAGCAGAAAAATGGAGTGAGTTTTGCTGAATAGCAAGTAGATGCTGGGCTCAGTATTACCTGACATGGCGGCCTTGTGGTGAGGGTGTACCTGAGAAAACCTTCTTAGTGGCAAAAGCATGCCCTGCAGCAGCTAAAGGCAAGGAGAACTGGAGAAGGGTAAACAACCACCCAACCACTACATTGTCCTGGAACTCCCTCTGTAGACCAGGCTGGCCTGTAACAAATCTGTCCGCCTCTGAGTGCTGGGACTAAAGACATGCACCATCATGCCTGGTTTGGTTTCACTCTTTAAGAAGGGCTGGCTTTTGCTGTGTTGCCAAGGCTGGCCTCAGGGATGCTCCTGCCTCAGCTTCTGGAGCAGCTGGGAGTCCAGGCACCAGCCATATCCTATTCTCCAACTATCTTTTTGAGCCCGACTACAGCTGTAGGCAGGCTGATGGGTGGGCAAACGCCCTCCTGGCCCTGGTAATCTGGTGCTTCGAAGCATAAATAAAAACTGGGTGGTGGGATAAGGAACGGAACTCATCAAGGGAGGGGGGCTGAGGCTAGCCTGGAACCTATGGTTTTCCCAGAGGCACAGCTGGAACACATCTGGAGAGGGGAATTGCTTCTCTTCTTCTTGCCAGGCTCTGGAGCAGACAACCCTTTCTCCCTCCCTGCCTCCTTTGAATGCCGGGAATTCCGGCGCTGCTGGGAGCCCAAGCCAGGCTGGGAACTTTCCTACAGCTGGGGGCGGCTGGGAATGTGCAACTCTGCAGAGAAGGGGCGGGCCAGCCTCAGTCCTGACCATGGGGGAAGTCTCCAGTCACAGAGTATATGTGTGTGAGGGAGAACACAGGACTCAGCTGCTGGGGGGCCCCCCAAACACAGTCCAGGCCCTGTGGGTACAATGGCCTTCAGTAATAACCCAGCTCCTTGGGCTGGTTGACTCACAAGCTCTTGTAGCCCTGGTAGCTCTTGGCACTAAATGGGCAACAACTCAGGCTGAGAGGATTTGTCCCTGCTCAGCCCTTTCCTAGCAGTGAGACTAGGGTGAGGTACTTCTTTGTGTCTCTGTCTCCTCTTCTTTATTTTTTGGGTTGAGAAAGAGTCTCCCTCTATAGCCCAGGATGTTTCCTTATCTATAATGTTTCAAAGCAAGGAGCTGGAGAGACGTTTGTGGATAATATTGCTCTTACAGAGGACCCACGTTTAGTTCCCAGCATCCACGCTGGTTGGCTCATAACTACCCACCGACTAAATCCAGCTCCAGAGGAATCTGATGCCCTCTTGTAGACTCCAGAGTCACTTGTGTGCACACACATATCAAATTCCAACCAACCAACCAACCAACCCCAGATGAGGTGCAGTGTCAGAGCACTTGCCTAGCAAGCCCAAGGCCCTAAACTCAATGCTCAGTACTGCAAACAACACAAAAACTATCCTCACCATGTAGGGAAGGTAGCTCATGGACAAACTCTTGAAAGAATAAGGCCCCGGTTTGGTTCTCAATGTAAAACAAAACAAAGTAGAACCTTCATTAATCTCTTGCGGATGCTGAGGGCCAAAACAGAATGAGCTCACACAGTGACAACCTTAAAGCCAGAAGCTACTTTGTAATAAAGCACAGCCTCTGGCTGCTAGCCAATGGCTAACAATCAGATTCCTGAGCTCTGTAGGTCAGGACGGGACCTTGTGTGTGTGTGTGATTAGACTAACTCCCTGGTGAGTCACGGGTTAAGCTGTCCCTGAGAAGTGACAGGATATGTTTACTGGATGCTCATTCTGAGAAGTGGTTAAAGACAGGAAAGCCAGAGCTCTTCGAGGAATGTCACACACCAAATAGAAAGGGGACTTGAATTTACAGCCGCAGCATGGGATGCCTCAGAATTCTTGGGAGGATTATAGACAGGGAAGGAAGGAGCTGGCATTCCGTCACCAAACAAACTGTTTAAATTATGCTGCCCTGCAGACCACTGCTGGGAGGGGCAGGATTTAAACATAAAATCCCTTTTGTCTCCACTACAAACTTGAATTATTCTGTGGGAGGCAAGGGCATACTGAGGAGCTGCAGAGATCCCAAGTGAGGAGGGACGGATGTGGGGTGTGTGTGGCGAGGCTGGACACAATAATAAGAATATTCATGGGAAGGAGCCCTGCATGTTCCCAGGAAAACCAAATGAGGATCAGAGCTTCCACAACCCCATCTTTTTTTTTTTTCTTTCTTTTTTGGTTTTTCGAGACAGGGTTTCTCTGTATAGTTCTGGCTGTCCTGGAACTCACTCTATAGACCAGGCTGGCCTCAAACTCAGAAATCCGCCTGCCTCTGCCTCCCAAGTGCTGAGATTAAAGGCGTGCCCCACCACCGCCCAGCTTCACAACCCCATCTTAATCTGCCCTGGTGTTAGCCTGGAAAGGTCCTGAGGTTTTATGGTACCTGGAAGAACCCTATCAAGGAGAGATGGTCAGGAGAGAGGGTTGATGATTAGAGATGGTGGTAATGAGGTATATAGACGGACCGATGGGTAGCTGGACAGATGGAAGGACGCGTGGGCAAACAGTGGGTGAAGATACAGACGTAGGTATCAGATGTATCTAGACGGAAGAGTGGAACAGGAGTCGAGGTGAGATGAAGAATACAACGGATGGAAGGATGGATGAACGGAAGGAGCAGAGGGTTGATGTGTAAGATACTTAGTAGGAGTTGGATAGGGATGGGTACTAAGGGAACGGATTTCAGGGGTCTACCTGGAGGAGGGCTCTTGCCTTTGTAGCCCAGGTTGCCCCTCAAACGCCTGGGCTCATGGGGTCCTCATTTCAGCCTCCCAAGCAGCTAGGACTGGAGGTGTGCATCACCATGCATGTTCAGGTTTCCTGGATGGGTTATCATAGTTCCAAATGCCTCAAAACCACAAATCAGGGTCTAACAGTTTCTAACTGGTCTAACCCAAGGAGCTTGAGGTTCCCCATTTTTGAGCGACATGGTGTCATGTAACACAGGCTGTCTTTGAACTTGCTATGTAGCCAAGGATGGCCGCAAATACCTGATCTGAGCTTCCTTCTGCACAGGTAGGCATTATCACACCCAGTTTTATACAGCGCTGGGAACTGAACCAAGGGGCTTTGTACGTTAAGCAAGCACTCTACCAACTGAGCGACACGGACAACCTGAGCTACAGCAAACGTTCTTACAGAGCTTTGATGTCTCGGGCCACATCAGCCCTTCCCATTCATGGTGTCTTCCCATCTCCCATTACCTCAAGAATGGCAAACCACGCAGCATTTCATAAAATTAATTAACAAAATAACCTGGACTTCGGGAGAGTCATCTGTGGACAGAGTTTCCTGGGGACTAGAAAGTTACAGCCATTTCTGGACCTGTGTCCAGACTCTGGATGTCGTAAGGAGGGGTGGCACCTTCTTGAAGCCTAATGTCCAGGCTTACATATGGAAAGCAGCCGTCAGGAGCCTCCTGGGCCCTGAGAAGGCCCGCAGGCTCCTGGATGGGGGGCTGTCAAGAGAGCAGGGTGGTTCAGCCGGACCTGAGCTTTAGCTGGTCTCAGCCGGCCACCACCTCCTACCTGGATACTGACTGTGGTGGCGTAGCTGAGCCTCCTGGCTGGAGGGGCTGGGGGCTGGGGCTGAGGTGGTGGGGAAGGCGCCCGTGATGTAGGGGCAGAGGAAGACCAGTGACCCTGGGAAGCTGCTGCACCCTCCCCCCCAGGTCCCTGGCGCCGAGCCAAGCTCTGGCTGATGTATGAAGCTGCCAGGTACCTTGAGAGGGCAGCTGCACTGGGGCCCAGGAGCTGGCGAGTGGAGAGAGAGGGGCTCTGTGGTGGGGTCAAGTCCAAAGACTCTGACGTGGCAACACGAGAGACTACACCCCTGGATTTAGGTAACTCCACGGTTGTCTGAACCGGGGAAGTTATTAGGCCTTGAAGATCCTGAGAGCACCCTTGCTCAGTCAAAGACATGGCAGCTCCTGGAACATGACCAACATGGCCGTCTGTGGTGTTCTCTTGGCCCAGTGAAGGTGAGAGTCTGGGAGCTGGTGTGTCTGTGAGGCTGGACTCTGGACCCAGAAACTCTGGCGCTTCCTCCTGCTCGGGGAAAGACAGGGGCACTTTGGCCCTGATGTCTGTAAGGCCTTGTGGCTGGGGCATGGGGACGACGGCTGGCACCCGAATGTCTTGGGACAAAGATGGTACAGGGCTGCATGGGGCGTAACAGTCCGGATGATCTTCCTGTGTGGGCAAAGGTAAGGCACCAGGACCCTCCATGTCTGGGAGGTCAGGTGACAATGGCGGTGGGGTGGTGGCTGGGATCTGATGGTCAGGGCTGCTTGTGCACACTAGCAAAGGGCTGACAGGTCGGCTACCAACAGCAGCTAGGCCCTGATCAACACTGACATTTCTTTGCTTGGCTTCTGGGGCATTGTTCAGGCTTTGGCTGTCTTCAGGACCTTCTTGCTTGGGGAATGTCACAGCGGTTGGCATCTGGAAGTCTTCCTGACACTCTTGGCCAGGAAGGGAAACGGTGGCGGACTGAACCTGGATCTCCACATAGTTTCTATGCTCAGCTGAAGGAGTGGCAGCTGGAACGTGGCTTTGTAGCTGACATGTACCAGGCAAGGTTGAGGCCGCTGAGACCTGGCCATCTGGAGGATCTTGCTTGGGCAAAAGGGATGTAGATGGAACCTGGATGTTCTGGAAGTTGCTTTGCCCAGGTAAAGGGACAGGAGGTGGTACGCAGCTATTACTCAGATGGTCTTGCTCGGGCGAATCCGAAACGTTTAGACTCTGGACACTCAGATCATCCCCTTGTATACACAAAGGTGTGGCAGCCTGAACCAGAACAGCAGGGCCCAGAGGGACAGACTCCTGGGCACAGTTCAGTGGAAAGGCCAGCTCACAAACCAGCACATGCCCAAATGCAGGCAGGGCCCCTGTGTGGGGAAAACAAATCAAAAACTAAGGATGTAGCTCAGCAGAGGCCCCGCCTAGAATCCCAAGTGAGGGGCTGGGGGCGTGGCTCAGTGGTAGAGCCCCTGCCTAGAATCCCCCAGTAAGGGGCTGGGGGCGTGGCTCAGTGGTAGAGCCCCGCCTAGAATCCCCCAGTGAGGGGCTGGGGGCGTGGCTCAGTGGTAGAGCCCCTGCCTAGAATCCCCCAGTGAGGGGCTGGGGGCGTGGCTCAGTGGTAGAGCCCCTGCCTAGGATCCCCCAGTGAGGGGCTGGGGGCGTGGCTCACCCGTAAGATCACCTGATCAGAATGTGATAGAGGCCCCAGGCCCTAGCAGTACACTGTGTTTGGGGGGG